TCCCCCCCCCCAAGCACCATCTCCATGGATGGCAGGGAAGGCAGAGGCATAGCGGGGGACCGACTGTGAGCTGGGAATCAGCTGTCCTGGCTTATGCCTGGTCTCCTTCCCCCCGCGCACGCGCGCACACACTGAGCTTCAACACTGCTGGCTCTTAATGCATTTAAAAGGCAGAGCCACAGCAGAGTTAGCTTCCAGAGCTGGGAGCTAACCCTTCTGTGGCTCCGCAGTTTCCCTTGCTTATTGACTAATCGACAGGTCGATGGAAGTTCCATTAACTAGTCAATTATTTGATTAAATGCAATGTAACATCCCTAGATAGCATAAGAATTATAACAGTCATTTTCATGTATAATGTCTTTTAACTGCTTTCATTGTGAATACTTAATAAAATGGTTTTAAAGGGGAGACCATCCCTGCTAATGTTTGAATTGAATTGGAAACAATGTTTGTCTATCTCTTGTGTAAGATATTGCTGTCCCCTTAAAGGCTGAATGTTCTAAATTACTGAAGAATAGCAAAATGCAATGATCCCATCAAACCATTAATAAAAAGTCATACAAATCAAATGATTACATGACTTGTTCCTAATCCTTATCCCCACAAAAGATAAAACTAGCTATGAAGTGGCAACTAACAACAAATAGTGTCTTCTGTTGCTGTCAGCAATAGTTTATTCCATTAAAAAATAGTTTGATTCGTAATAACTTTTCTTGCTAAACTTTGATGTGTGGGGAGATAGCGATTTGACTTAATGTAAAAAATGTATGGCTAAAATTTTCACACACTTCTAAAATCCTGGAGTGAGGGTCTGTATTAAGGCTTCTAGGCTGCCATTCTAGTTCCAGTGGGCCTCACAGCATTGGGTGATCTGAACATCCTAAAAACTACATCGTCTATTTACAACGGGATGCATTAAAAATGGAGCAGTCATCAAACTTTCTTACCCCATCTATTTAATGTAAATATTTTGTCTTTGTTTTAGAGATGTCAAGGTGTAGATGACTACGTGATTAACTGATAAGCTCAGGCTTATTGGTTAATCCTGTCAACTATGCACATTTCGCCCCTCCCACCTTCCACGTTGTGCTGCTGCGTCTGTTAGAGAGGCAGCAGCACGAGCTGGCAGGGAGCTCCTTGGCAATTGGGCCCGGGCCCATTGGCTGTCAGCCCCGGGAGGCAGGACCATCTAATGATTATGTAACTGCTAAAATTTAATGCAGTTACGCAGCTGTTAAATTACACACTAACACCCATACTTTGTTTCCTATCATTATTAGTCTTTCGTATTTCATATTGTCCATCTACTTAGCATTGATAATGATTGCAATGAAAAAATTAATTTCAGAATCTGATTCAACTATTATTCCAGGATAAAATCAGCATGTATTTGCGTTTTCTTTTAAAGCAAACTTAATATTATATATAGCTTCTGCTTTGTGAGCTGCAGTAATACAAAATAAAAATTGGAGACAGTAGAATATCCTCTGAGTTTTCATTGTTAAGCCAAGAAGAGTGTGTGGCATTCTGGTTTTAACTTGAGCCACAATTTTGGATGTGTGTTTTGCCACAGTTACTGAAATCTGATTTTCCTGGAGAAGGAGAGAGAGAGAGAGAGAGAGATGCCTTTTGCTTTCTGAGAATTTGAATATTTTATTCCCCTGCTCATGATATCCCATTTTCTCCATTTCCTAGGCTACTGCTCTAAACCGTGGAAAGTAATATTATATTATATTGCAAACCGCTTTATCTAAATAGAGGCAGTCAAGCTTGACATACTTTTTTTTTCTCTTGCAGAGTACTATGTATTTGATGGTTTTAAAAAAACTGTATATGCTCCTTTTGCTTTTGTAACGAGTTTATTGCACTTTTTAAATAAAAAAATACAATACACAAAGATACATTTAATATGATACCAGAGCTCCTAGAATACTTCTGTGCGATTCAATTCAAGTGATTAACACTCACCATAAACCTTAAAACAAATGTTGTGTGTCAATGTAATGGAAGCAAAAGCCTGCTTGTGAAGCAAGAGATTCCAGTTTCAAACATTTTTGTTACATAGGCAGTTCAGAAAATAAATTAAATTAAAATTTAATAATTCAGCTAAGTAGCTTTTATTACAATGCCTGAAGTATTCTAATCTAAACTTGTATATCGTTGATGGTTTTTGAAACCCAGGTACTTAATTTATTTGCTAATTCTTACAATGTTGTTGGAAAAAACATTTCCTGTAAAATTACTTCACTCAGGCAAGTGATTAAACAATTTTATTTAAAATTAACTAATACAGATTTATCCATCCAAATTAAATTGAAGTGGATGGTAATCTTAAAAAATTTCAGAAGAGATCTTCTGAGCATTTGAAAGCCCCGTTTATCATTCTCCTGTTTTTGGAGAGAATGACCTCACTGCATGTTAAGCAATGGATACCTTTGTCTGGCTTGCTGAAGGGTGTTTTCCCCTTAATGGCACCTAGAGAATTACCTGCTGTGTGGAGAAGCTTTGTACCAGGTCAGTGGGGGGGGGCGGGAATGCTAGGTGACCAGAAGAAAAGAGGACTCTTTATGCCCATGTCTGTGCAGTAAGGATGTTGAGAAGCAGGCAACTGACTAATCCTAGGGTCACGATTAGTCAGTAATGGAAGGCAGGGTCCAGGAGTTATCCCCACTGTGGCTCTGCAGTTTAAATGTAGTAGGAGCCAGGCGCACAGGGATAGGTCCTAGACCCCGTGCAAGAGTAGCAGCCCTGGCTCGTGCCAAATCCTGGACCACTGCACTTCTGTCCTTTAAACTGGCTCTGCTCAGCACAGACTCTCCTGCGCCCCCTCTTGCTGCCTCTGATGCAGAGGCAGCAAAGCGGGGGAAGAGGAGAGGGAGGGTAGATTCTCTGTCGCCAGAGGCATGTAGATTAGGCTACCAGACATAGGAAAATGAAGCGGCGATTTAAATAATGGCCGCTTCATTTAAATTTACATGGCTGCCGCGCTGAGCCAACAAACAGCTGATCAGCTCTTTATCGGCTCAGCGCGATAGTCTGGACGCGCGGGTGTCGACATCAAAGGCATTTGTCGACCACCCAGGTATGCCTCCTGGCGACAGAGGCATGTAGTCTAGACGTACCTGTAGTGACTAGACTAGTTGCTTACATCCCTACTGTGCAGTAAAACCCTTCTTTTTTTCACCTGAACCAGGCTGAGCAGCACTTGCTTTCCTACTCATGGAAGTAATTGAAATACCAGGTTTCATCATGATCAACTATGGTATTATTCTGGGCTCTCCAATCTTGGGGTCTAGGAAGGAGTTTTTTTCTTATCAACACATTGGCCAAACTGAGATGGACATTTTTGTCTTCCCCGCAGTATGTTGGGGCTTAGTGAGGAGCAAAGGATAAAAGGGGTGGGAGGTAGGCTTTGATTATGAAAGCTTGAAGCAGATGTCCAATGCAGTACTCCATAGTGAATGGATATAATGATTCAATAAAATGGGGTGGGAAAGAATTTAAAGGAGGTGTTCTTTGAAGGTGTGGAAGCAGGAGGTTTGGGACTCCTATGAATGCTATTGCAGGGAGTCAGCTCCCCTTCTTTACCTTTCTAACCCTCAAATGAGGGTTAGTGTGTTCCCAGTAACAAGTTGGCTGGGTCCAGGAGAGGTAAGGAGTAGGGTTGCCAGCACCCCATGGGTATATGTTTAATGAGTGTGGAATTACTTGCACTGCACAATTTAATCTGCCAAAATCTAGTCAGGTAGAAATAAAGTTGCAGCATAATTAAAGCACATTCAGTATCTGCTGTCCTTCCAGGATAACTGGATAATGCTTACAAATGCATTCTGTTTGGATACCTGTTCCATTTAGTAAGCCGGATGGTTTTGTAGTAAATGTAACACACAACCTTGCCCAGAAAATGCAGATTGTCTTGGGTACCACATTTTATTACTTTTTTTTTAAGAGTACAAAGTTGTAGCATATTTGAATTACTTTTTTAAAATAAATTGCTGTGTGAAATGCTTTTAGAAGCCTACCACATTTAAGCAGAACTACTATTGGTTTTTAACCTTATTGGTAGCTAGTGATATTTTTACTTTCTGGAAGCTGAAGGATATAATATTGACTGGTTCTTAAATACCATAGATGTTACACTTTGCTGTCTTTAAGTTACTATTTAACAATGCTAGATTTCTTGAATGAGGCAAGCATTAGTTTCTCTGTCTTGTTTCCAGCTATGTGCAAAGAGTACCACTTGTCATGGGTCTCAGCTGTTGTATCACAAGTAATGTATTGTACCTAGGTTTTTCTCCCTTTAGTATGGTGCATTGGCTTCTTATTGTCCTAGGAGAAATTGTATGACACATTTTTATTGTAGTGTGGTTGAGGGGAGCTACAAGAAGGCTTTGCCTGAGGTGTTGAAATTGAGGGTTTTTTAATTCTTGAAGTACCTGATAAATTGGTTACTTGTACTAAAATATTTACAAGATTAATAGTGCAACTTTAGAAAAGATTAGACCAGTGACACTTATTAACACTAGTCTGTTCTTGACAGGACTGGTTTAGAAGCTTGTCTTCACATCCTCCTTTGTTTAGCCATACTTCACACTGGAATGATATTTATAACTGCATAAAAGGGAGAAAATATCTTTGCCTAGTGTGGCTGAGAAACAGATGCTTGGTAATGTCTATGGTGCACAAATCATACTTCTGTTTTTTACCTTTGAGCAAGTATTGATTCAAATATAAATTATTTCTAGAGTTAAAAATATCTTTGTCACTAAATTAATTCTCAGGTCTATGTATTCACAGCTTCTAATGAGTATGAGGTTATAAAAATATTTTTCAGGGGAATTTTTCTTTTAAGGATGCAGCTTGTTTTAGGCTTTGATAACGGGAGTAATAACTTTCAGTTATAAGACAACTGAATTATTTGGCAAATGTTTTTTTGTTTTCCTTTTAACTTTTTTGCCCGTTTGAACAAATCCCTAATGTATATATTTCTCCTCTTTCAGTGGCAGATCGTCTGGGCTGTGATCCTCGAACACGTTTCCATGTTCCTCCAAATACCAAGCAGTGGATTGCCTTGCTGCAACGAGGAAACTGTACATTTAGAGAGAAAATATTGCGAGCAGCTTCACATAATGCCACAGCTGTGGTAATTTACAACAACATATCCAGTGAGGAACCTGTCACTATGACTCATCAAGGTAAATAGTATGAAGTCTGTTCCTCTTTTGTCCCCTTTGCCTTCTGGGTATTTTTCTGACACATACATTATTTTTAAAGCACTATAAATAATACAGAGCTACTTAATTTTTTTTGTCCTTAGTTCGGGGTGGGCAGCCTAAGGTCTGGGTGCCAGATGCGGCCTCTGACTTGCCTGATCCAGTCCCCAAGGCTGGCACTCCAAGCCTTCCGCCACCTCCCCATCATGGGACTGGAGCATACAAAATCTGTAAGCCTGCTTTGTGCCGTCCCCCCCCCCCCACTCTGGTATGTGAGGGGAATGTGGAGAGTGTCTTTCTCCTTCTCAGTTGAGGGCCACATCAATGAGGGTTGGTTTGTTTTGCGTTTTTTTGCTTCTCACTTGTGTGCGGGCCCCCATCTGACTTTTCTGTGAGTCAGTGGCCCCTGATCGGGGGCCCATCCCTGCCTTAGTTCATTAAAACTACAAGCAAGTACACAATATAGTGAAATGCAATGAATGCATTGAGAAGTGGACTTGTTTGTGGTTTTAAACTGGAGAGGAATACACATATCCACTGAGTAACTTTTCTTTCCCCTTTTTGGGATCTTAGAGCTTATTGTTTTTGTTTTAAATCTTAGAGCTATTGCTTTTTGGAGAGGCAGAAAACAAAATACTATATAACAGTAGAGCTGTAACTTAATACAAAATATCTGGAAGTGAAGAATATGTATAGTAATGTCTTATAGCAGAGTTTTGAAGATTGGAGTTTTCAGAGGCGCCAAAAGGAATTAAGCTCCAAAATCCCAGTCTCCAGGCTTCTTTTAGTGGAAGTTTAAAAGGACTTAAGTATTGCTGATGGTACAGACTAATGTGGCCATCACACTGTTGCAATGCAAGAATAAAAAGGACATACTCAGTGTTTCAAGGAGGCATTGTTCTTATAAACATAACCTGAAATTCTTTCAGGATTCATTGTATTGATGGCCTGTTTCTAGGGCAGTTTACATGTAAAAGTTTGGCATTATAAGAGGATTATTTTGGAGCCTTATCTGTAGACTTTTTCCTTCACTGAAAAAATCCCTTTAGCAGATTTCACAGCGGGGCAAAATACAACTACCTGCATTTTCCCAAAACAGTGTCTATTTACTTGGGATGTCTTCGTCCTTCAGCTCACCCCAAAAAGACGAGTTAGCTTTGATGGTTGCATTTCCTTTGAAAGCTCCCCTAAAAATGTTCCACTACGTTTCTTTTGAATGTAATGGGGGAGATGCTTGGGGAATTCAGAGTTCCCAAATTATCTTTTTTTTTTTTTTTTTTTTTTAAATCTCACCAAACCCCCTAGTGTGAATATGATTGGAACTCTATTCTAGAGAGCCGAATATAGTTTTTTTTAAAAAGCAGCTTTTCTGGACATCTCATTTTCAGAATGAAACAAAGCCTCCTACAAAAGAAATTACCCAGCACACATGTTCGTTACTTCTGTTGATTGTAACTGTCTTTTGCTTCATTCTAACAAAACATTTTTACCTTTATTTTTTTTCCTCTTGTGAGCCATCACCATGTTTATCGCTCCTTTGTTCATGCAATTCCCCTGAAGACTTAAGCTCCAAAGGCAGACATCTAAGTTGATGTGAGGTTTGTAAGGGTTACAGAGCCTGCAGTATTTACTTCCAAGTGATGCAGATGATTTCTGACTTCTACCGGCCCTAGCGAAGCAGGATACTTGTTGTAACAAGATATTAAGATTTCTGTTTTTTCATGAACAAAATGGGCAGGAGAGGCAAGAAGACTAATATAGCTAGATTGACAGAAGGTAGGAAGCTTTAAGATAGCTTTTTGCTTGAGCAATCTTATCTCTGAATCATGCAGTCTTTAGCCCTGTCTCTTTGTAATAAACCAGGATGGTTCTCAGATCTCTTAACTCTTCCCTTGCTAACACTGTCAACAACCATATTCCTTGAAGCATTTTTTTAAGAGAGTGGCAATATCTCTGTGCTAACTGGATATTTAAGCTCCATTCGTCTAACTTTCCCCTTCCTTTAGGTGAGCAGTAGTTGAATTCTTTTAAGTTTGATAGTGTAGACTATTATCGGGAGGAAAACTAGTTATAAGTACCTTAATCAAATAGCTGTTTGACTTTTTTGGCTAAATAGGTGCTACACAAGTGATGTCCCACTTCCACATGCTAATAGCCTAGGAATCAGAAGGTCTTGCTCTTGTTGCTTATCAGGTAGCAGCATATTCTGTTCTGCCAGGGTCCAGGGAAGGAAAGCAAGGAGAACAATAGCTGCCCAGGATGTCGTGCTCCTGTGAGCCATGTGCATAATCTTCTTGTAGTATGAGTCCAAACAGCCTATGAATGTTTGTGCCAAAAACAGGGTTGGGTCAAAATAAAAAAGATAAGTTTGTTTATGCCTACAACCCAAGATATGCAGCGTGGTTTATATACTTCAGTTATGAACATTTATTTAAAATATTGTCCCATTTCCCCACAAGGCACTCATTCAGGTTTTTGGGGTGGGGAGGCAATTTTTAACTTATGGTTGGATCACTTGGATTTTCTGAAGGAGAAAACGTCTAATTTTGGAGAATTTGTTTTGCTTGGTTCCTATATTTTTAATGATCCATATATGAATATATTACAATAAAATTAGCAATGTAGGAAAAGCAGGCAACATTTAAAGCTAATCTAGTGGCATGCAGATAAAATCAATAAATAAACCAAATAAAACTTAATTTTCAAGCCTTTAAAACAAAGTTTAGAGCACGAGGGATGTCAAATTTTGATTAACTGACTGCCGATTAGTCGATAAGGGTACTTCCTCCTTTGAAGTGCAGAATCAGCCCCAGGGCTGTTGCTATGCTTCAGAGGTGAAAGCGCTGCTGGGACCACTGGTCCAGTTGGCCCTCCTCCCCACTATCCCTGTGCTCCCTGTGGTGTTTAAAAGCGGTAGCGCCCCGTGGAGCCCGTGGTCAGGTGGGGACTCCCCCACTGACTGTGGGCTCCATGTGGCACTGCCACTTTGAAGTACCCTCTCTTCTTCCCCGACCGCTTGCTACCTTTTTCCAATAGAGACAGCAAGGAGAGGGGCACGTCAACACACTAGTCGACTAGTCTATCAAATAAGCAAATGCTTATCGGATAGTTGACTACTCAACTAGTTGTTCACATCCCTAGAGCACATTAGAGAAATACATTAAAATATTGATTCCACATTCTTTATGTATGAATTTTTTAGCCTTTACATTGGTACCGTAGTAGGGTAGTCATACTACAGGCAGTCCCCGACTTAGGCGGATCCGACTTATGTCGGATCCGCAGTTACGAACGGGGCTGCCCCAGAGTACACGGACTGCGGGACCTCGCGGTCCTGCCTCCCGTGTACTCTGGGGCTTTGCTCTGCGTCTCCCTGGTCTGCAGACCAGGAAGACGCAGAGCAAAGCCGCAGAGCACGCCCGCAGCGGGACAGCCCGGGCGCGCCTGGGCTGTCCTGCTGCGGACATGCTCCAAGGATTTGCTCCCCATCTCCCTGGTCAGTAGACCAGGGAGATGGAGCAAAGCCGTGGAGGACGCGGGCAGTCCCGCCACCCGCGTCTCCCTGGTCTGCTGGGGGCGGGGATGCAGCTGCTAGTGCCCCTCCTCCCCCCCAGCAGACCAGGCTTTTCTTGCCTACCCCTGGGGTAGAGCAGCTGGGGCGCTGCCGGGTTGGTCCCGCAGCACCGCTCCTCGGCGCTACTGTACCAACCGGGCAGTACCCCA